TGATATTTTGCAAGGACTTAAAAAGATTTTGCTTTTGAAATGATGTTTGTGAAATTGACCATGTAATTAACAATGACTGCAAGAGTTGTTCAAACCATTGACCAGCAACTTTAAAGATAAAACCTCACTGAAGCATGTGTCGGCTTAGACAGGTAAAGGTGTCGGACCAGTTATTTTTCATCAGCGCTCTACAAAATTACCTGCCCCTAGGATCAAGGTGGTCATTATCTTATTAAGCACACCTGTCACCAGGTCTAATGCAAGCGTAAATTAGTTTCCTTTTGATCACAGACATGAACTAGTGGCTTATAATTAATGAAACCTTTTCAAAATTATACTTTTGAAATGTCTCTTCCCAATTAAAAAAAATAATAGCCTAATTGGTATACTCAGTTTTGTGGGAGACAAGAAAACATCTGTCAATCTTAAGATGCACAGGTTAAGAATGTTCTTAACAGTGAAATATGTTTATGGTAAAGATTATGATATTTTACGATGTCTGGTTGTCATAAAGGTTTTAATATTTGTAATGGTTCAGTCTTATGAGTGAATGCTATAGATAAAAGTTTATGTCCCAGGTTTTTTGTCTTTTAGAGAAGAGAAATATTAGTTCTGGTATTGATTTATCACTTTATGATGAAAGACTATTTTATATCCAACTTTCTTTGTAGCTTTTTTTCCCCATGGAAGAATATTTACAATGATGGAACCTGCACTTTTGTTATTATCCAATGTATCCAGATGAGCGGGGCAGGTTATTAACAGCAATCCTCGCTCAAAATTGCAAAGATAAGGGGAAGATAACTCAATTAAAAATTCTATCTTGCATGTGCACTGAATAATCTTTTTTATAATTTTGTTAATTGATGAAGAAACAATTTTATGATTGATTTGGTTTCAATGAGTTGTCTGTACTAAAAATAAATTCCGTCCCAGCAAGAGTCCATTGTAATTTGGACTCTTTCTTATCTGTTATTGAATTAATTATGAAGATGACAATTGCAAATTTTCCAACATGATAAATTTAATTATATTTTTGTTCAGTTGGAGTTCCCAATAATTGATTTAAATTTGATGAGAAGGCAAAATTAATTTCATTAGAACAAAGAGAATTTTGTAGGATTTAATCAAGTTTTTGCATTTGATTAATGCAACTGTTTTTTGTAAGTTGGATATAATAATATTTTCACCACCTTTGAATTACACCATATTAGGTTATGAAAACTTGCAACATTTTTGCATCTCTTCATGAGGATTTGATTTAACAGTTTTGATTAACGAGCCATGGGGTCAACTTTTTTCCACTGGGCATTAAATTATCAATTGAAAAGATTTAATGATTCTGTCACTTAAAAATATTTTGATCAATTTAAAGTCAACGTGAACATCTCTAGATTTATCGGAATTTATGTTGTAATCAAACAGCCTTTCCGATCTCTTTGCCCCTTTTGCACATGCAGAAGATTAATAGAAGGACATGATTAATTGGGAGCCATGATTCACATTGACCAAAAAGTTCCAAAATGATGGATTACATGTATATGTTCAACGATGAACAAACATACCCTGGGTCAGTTCCTCAGAGAGATTTGTCAAGCTGGAACTGAATATAGATTTATGTACATTTCATTGGAAGTTTAACAGACAGATCTATTAGTGAAATCAGTTACATAAAAAAAAAAATTTCTGCCGCATCTTTTGACTGACAAGGTGTCGGAGCATATGTAAATTTATATATAATCCGTGAAGAAATATTGATTTCTCTGCTATTGCAGCCTCAGTGAAATTGACTTTATATTAATTCAATGTTGATTATAAATGAAACTGAAGTATAAGAATCTGTGTCGCTATCAGGCAAAAGTATGCTGTTGCTATCTGACAGTTTGTTATGGAAACGGTCAAAATACACGATTCAGCTTTACAGGGAGACAACTCTGTCAAATATTTATTAAAATGAAAAAAATGAAGCAATATGTATTTTAGAAAGAAAAAATAAATCCTTTAAACGTGAGAAAATATTTCAAAACTTCATAAATGATTATGTGAATGAATTTGTTCCCACCTGTTCTAAAACATTGTAACAATTGTCAAATAGAATGTGTACAGTTTAGCTTAATAGAGACAAATCATTTATAGATTTTATATAAATATTTTTACAGGGGATTAAGTGTGCATGTTGTTGAATTTAATATGAATTTTTAAGTCATAAATTATTATTATATCAATATTTTGAAAGCAATTTTTACCATTTCAATAGCAGTAGTTTAACTCAGTTTAAAAGGGTCAACAATAGTTTAAAATAAATTTCAGTTAATGTCCCTAGAAAATGAAAGGAGATTAAAATCATATTAGTGGTATGATTTGAAGTGGAGAACAGACTCAAATAAGTCTGTTTTAACAACTGTAACCTTTCCAATTGATACTTATCTACAGTCGAAAAGTGAAGGTTTACAGAATTTCTGGAAATTAACATCATTCTTTTTAAACTCTGAATTTTTGGGGATCTTTTGGGGTCAACTATCTTTTAAATCAAATCTTTTTAAATTTGTTTTCAAAAAATGTCTGTATTGTCCTGTGATTTATTATATTTTTATAGATTAAAAGACCTGTCAATTCATTATTTGGGAGATTTTGAGGTCAACAATATTTTGATATGACACAAAATTATCCACTGTAGAAGAATATTACATTTTGTAAACCTGAATGCTTGTATAGACAGCAAAGAGATGTTATGTATGATAGTATTCTGTTCTGAAAGTTTGCAGATGTTTGATAAGTCAATAATTCAAGGCTTTATAAACTTGACTGATTTGTTGATTTGAATTTTGTATAGAGTAATTCAGCAGAAATATCACCATTGAGTTTATCATGTTTTTCTCTACACAAATGCACAAATATGGAGAAAAAAAAACAAGAAAAACAGAAAAGCTACTTTTATTTTTAGCATCATATGAAAATAGGATGTATAAGTCAGATATCAGTCAGTCAAAACATTGAAAAGGAATCATTTTACAAGATTTGTAAAGTGAACTCATTTAGTGAAACCGACTTCAACCAGATGTTTGCTTGGATTATTATTGTCAATGGGACTAATTTTGATGTCAGATTTGAAATTCTTAATTATAATGTACATGACTGCCTTGATTACATCCCTTGTTTTAAGTCAACTGCAAAAGCATATCTGCTAAGGACATGTCACTCACAATGTCATGATACCATTACATAGAAGTGCTCCATATTAGGAGAAACCATTGTAAAGAATTAGAACAATAATTGTGGATTATAACCCACATTATATCTGGCTTTTGTTACCATTTAGGCAAATAGTCCAAACAAATGAAATTCATAATAGCATTTTAAACTATAATTGTACAGACAGATTGATGCAGAATGTCCATTTTATTCTGAGATGTGACAAACAATTTCATGCAAGCATTTGAGACTGTTGTAACAGTTTATCATTCACATTTTAATCAATCAAATTTTTAGTTCGTCATGTACAAAGGAAATTTAAAGACAGAATTTAAAAAAGAATTCCTGAAATGAAATAAGTTTGACCTATTAGTTGATTAGATAAGAAGACACTATCCTCATTTGTAATTCAGAACTCGTCTGCTCATTCCTTCAGCATGTGACAGGCTAATTTTCATGAGCTTCAAAGAATACCTCTTATTTTATCCCTCATTTCATGCAGGTCAAAAAAGGTACACAACATCCATACTCTTGATGGATTAATTTGAGCAAGAAGATTAATGAGAAAGAAACACTATTACGCGAATTGTGTAAACAAACAGTCTTTTTCTTTGTTCCGTACTGATTGCACAAGACCTAAAACGTGGAAAAAATTAATAAGATGTTACGTTCTCCAAATGCCTTTTAATGACCATCCGTCGAAATTGTCAAAAAATGATTAATTGCTGTTTCCGTTAGATTCATGGCTGAAGACTCCGGCAAATTTCCAGTTAAAAAATTGTTTGCTTACTTTTGATTTGAAGAAATTGGCTTGAAGTGGCATATTATTACGGGATAAGAAGATAATGTTGTTTGAAATTCCGGAGGAAATGTGAATTTCTCCCGGGATTTAATTATCACATGGAGTTTAATTAATTTGAAAAGACAAATAGGAAACTAAATGAATTAAAACTAATCAAATCTTAAGGCGTGCAATGTTTAGATAAGGAAATAAAGAAGTTTTTAGATACTAAATTTGTACATGTATGTAAATATTTGTAAAATTTGAAATTTTTGACATTGAAATATATTACATTGTACATCCTGTACAGGTATAAATGAATATTTATAATTCATTATTCTCACTTAGACAGCTGTATAACTATGATGAATTATTCACTGTAATTTTAATATAAAATTATAATACCAAGGAAATGACATACATATATATTGCAAAAATTTGGTCAAATGAATAAATTTTGCAACTGTCAATATATCAAGTTCATATATTTATTATCTCCCTTTGTGCAAGAAGCCATCATTCATAACTAACTAATGAATTCAATCTGCAACCTCAAAACATCCACTTTCGAAGAAAAAACTTATATATGATTCTAAACACAACTTAAAACAGGGAAATGTAGTATTTGTCAGAACATCTAGGTTTGACAAATAGCAATAAGAATTTCAGGACCACATTATTAACCATATAGGGGGAAAAGTAATAAAAAGTAGAATAATGACAGTTTTAAATTGTTAAGGGCATTTCCCACCTCTTGACCATGTGAATTATCACCTGGGGGCATAAATGAGAGGCAACATTAGTTTACCAATTTTTCAATTCTGATCAGTCAACAAAAATCAAGATAAAAACAGAAACTGAGAAAATCACATAAACTCCAAAAGGAGTGAGACCGGGTGTGTCTACATAAATTACATAAAAGTTAGCCAGAATTATTCTTTTTGGTAAAAAGTCTATACCATAATTTCAATACATAAGGTTGATTCTTGCAACATTTTTACTTATGACCTTATCTTTCTTCTTGCAGATTTTCTACCACATCAGACAATAAAATTACAGTGAATTTATTTGACAGCATAGATGTATATTGTCCCTACTATCCACCTACATCAGATAATTCTACATGGGAATATTATGTTATATATTTAGTAAGTATATATTTGATTCTCACATTAGCAGTGTTGTGCTATTTTAAAACTGCTCGTGATGTATTGAATTAATTTTGTAGTCTGATGAAGTTAAGGAAAAATTTAGATGATACATGTACCTTTAATATTATAAAAAATAAGCAAAACAAACACATTCTTAAAAAAAACTATAGAAAAAACAAACATAAGCAGTAAAAAAAAAAACAAATTAGAGGCAGCAGTTGTGTACTGATGTTCTAATCTCATATATCCATTAGGATACAAGTCAAGGTAAAACACAAAAAATAGGGAAATTATAAAGAGCAAGACAAGGCCTTGCGGTCATAAAACTTTTGAGCATGATAATAGTACTCAGACTCAGAAATCAACCAATCAAAATACTGGATTTGGTGTTTCGAGCACAAATTTTGTACTCCGAGTACTGAGTAAAGTTTTATGACCGAGGGCCCAGGTGTTATTAAAGACATTCTTAAAAGGAAGACACTTTTGAAAACAAAACTCTTTCTAAACTTGCTCCAAAAAGTAAGCAGTCTGTCTCGAGAAGTACCCATTACTTTTAGTAAAGGTCTAAGAATGAGTCTAATACACTAAAGAAGGGAGGTAACTTGCACATTACAGGGAGGGAAGGGAGATAACTGCTGTACAATACAAAACTGTTGTTCAGACACTTGGTATTGTACATGTACTGTCCCATAGAATTTACTGTGTTTTAACCACAAAAAATTTCACTGTTCAACTTAATTGCCCTAAAGACAACTAGAAAGGACTAAACAGTATATAAAAATAGTTAAAAGAATGTTTTTCGTGTGAAAGTAAACCAATCAGATTTTGCAGATAACTAACCATACATGTTTTATATTACAGGTTAGTAAAGCTGAGTATGATCAGTGTACTGTGTTTGACCCTTCTAAATCATTAATGATTATAAACTGTTCTAATCCTACAAAAAGTGATGTCTTTTTTACTATTTGGATAGACCCTTTCCAAGGATTTCCAAATACACCAGATTTTTCCAGTGGAAATACATATTATATGATAAGTAAGTATTATAATTTAGTATATAAAGTTGCTATCTTACATTGGTTAAATGGTTAAAGCATACATCGTCATTATTTTCAAGCTGACCATTTTGCTGATATAGCATAAAACCTTTACTAATAAAACGAAGGGCAACATAGCTCATTACAATTATTGTCAAGAATGTAATTTATACTAAATGTTGTACATCACAAACATATACATACAAATAAAAAAAAGATTCAAGCAAGCAACACCATGACAAATATGACATTTATGAACTTAAAGTCTAGTAAGTGTTACTTAGTACAAGTAAATTATGTGGGGTTAAGTATCTGGTCTTATGGGTTTAATTGCTTAATTCATTCTAAAAGTATCAACACACAGTATAATGTTCTTTAGAATCATGACAGTTAAGAGCTTTATAAACATTGTGTAAAGTGATCTAAACAGGTAAACATATCTAAATATACATGTAAGTATGTGTGTAAAAATGAGACAACAAGTATCTAAATATACATGTAAGTATGTGTATAAAAATGAGACAACAAGTATCTAAATATACATGTAAGTTTGTGTATAAAAATGAGACAAAAAGTATCTAAATATACATGTAAGTATGTGTATAAAAATGAGACAACAAGTATCTAAATATACATGTAAGTATGTGTATAGAAATGAGACAACAAGTATCTAAATATACATGTAAGTATGTGTATAAAAATGAGACAACAAGTATCTAAATATATACATGTAAGTATGTGTATAAAATGAGACACAAAGTCCTTGTAACATTCCATACCACAACTTGGCACAAGGACTGTGTACTCCAGACACACTTTTCCATCTACATTAGACTCATCAGTGGCACTCAAATTAAAACAGTGGTAATGCCAAATCAAGTGCAAAGTTGTAGAGCTTTAAAAACAAAAAATTCCGCAAGTGGTGCCAAATATGGCTATGGCAATCTATAAATTTAAAGAAATGGAACATATCAGTGATATTTCATGCCACATTTATATTGTACAGTATCTGAGTGCTAAACATATTCTGAATAAATGGTTGACATAGTGGACATTCTAAGTTTTCAATCTTATCTTATTATTTAATGTATATTTTCAGGCTCATCAACAGGAAAGCCTGGAGGATTATCTAACCAGTATCAGGAAATTGGTGCCTGTCATACAAAAAACATGAAACTAAAAATAGATATATGTTGTTCATCTAATAATAATAATACACAAGGTGGGTGATTTGTGAGCAGTATTATAATTGTCTTGACTGAGACACTGGTTAAATATTCCGAAATCAAAATGTCACAAAGATATGACCATCCTGAAATTTACATTATATCTAAAATGCACTGCAAAATGTAATGAAATAAGGAGATGTGAAGAAAATTTGTTTTAAAAATATGATACTCAAAATATTCCAGTTTTTTTTTCATGTTCAATTCGTCCATTGATTGAATTAGTTTTAATAAAGTAACACTTTGACAAAAGACAACTCTAGTAGAATGGATAGTTGAATTGTTTCATTTTGGGGATGCCATATTTGCTTCTGTATTGCCATTTTCACCTTTCCAAATATTTTTCCTTTCTATTTATATCAGTTCAGATATTGATTGATAAGTTGCTAACTATAACACAGTTAAAAAACCTTTAAATGGTGGGAGATGATGATTATGCCTGATTTGAAATAAAACATTCAGGTTTTTACAATACCTCATTTGTAACAACTGGTGTAAAATGACAATGTTATTCAAATACAATGATTGTCATCTTTCTCCATATGAATTGTATAATACCCTACTGCAAAGGCAAATATATTTCCATCTCTTTAAAGTGGAAGCATAGAACAGTTAATCGTATATTTTTGTAAAGATCTTTATATAGTTTTTTTATTTAAATGCCTTTTCGCAGTGTGTAAAAATAAGATAAATGAAGATGTTTGTCTCGGAGATGAAATTGATATTTTGTGTAAAGCACTTCCTTTTTGTTATACATACGTTACCTAGCAATGTAATATTTACACAATTTGAAAAGAAATCCTTGTTTTGTATTTCTGTACCATTTTGTACATCGACATATACAAATTGGAAAAGCGATCTGAAAATGGTTTGAGTTTAAGTAAAGATCTTAATATACATAATTTTACACTTAGGCAAAACATGTTCATGCTGTGAGTACTCTGAAATTATTTTTCTGCATGTTGGTGCACTGTTAAGGATGAAATGATATATCCTTTAGTTATAGAAAATGTCAACTAGTTTTATCATCAATTCATCAATTCACTGAAAAACCATTTTGAGTGCTAAAAAATTAATGTTAATGGAGTTATAAATACAATTAACCTATAAACGAAGTAAAAAAATATTCAAATTAGTATATCGTGCAGACTGTACAGTAGGCCCACATTTCAATTACTTTGAAAAATTACAGAAGTAATGTAACGTGTAGTTTAGAACTTTAAAATGATCTTAAATCACAGAAACTTTTGTCTGTCTGGAATTATATAGGAAAACACGACATTCATTCCTGCATGTTGATGACAATGGATTGTGTTTTCATCAGATTCTTCCCGATGTTTTTTGATACTTTCTTGCTTCTAACTTACCATTTGTAGGTCTCATCACAAATCAAACCCATTATCATGCTAACTGTTTAAACTTCCCATGAAGGTGATGGTGTCATCTCATGTGAAAATGTTGTTCTTCGCATGGTAGAATATCTTGTACTGACTTAAAATGGCCATTCATGTATGAATTTACTAAGATTGTTGAACTGTCCTTTGTAGACATGTAGACTAATTTAGATTTGAATGGTTTTTTAATGATTTTAAAAATAAAATATCACTACACATACAACTATAAATGAAAAGTTTGCAAATCTTATGTTTAGTCAAAAATTTTATGTCTTGATGCTAAGGATCAGAGTATGAAAAGAAATCAAATTAAATTTTTATCAGTGTATAACCTCATTTGCACTCTACTTTAATTTTATAATTTTGCATTCTTTTCTGTGTAAGAAAGTATTAAACACTGACTTTACATAGTCTTAGAATTACATGGTTTCAGTATTGTATACTCAGTGAAGAGTAGGAACATTTATATTTGATAGATATTGACATTTGTGTTTTATTTCAATCAATCTCATTTTTTACCTTCAGATTCATCTTCAACAAGTACGACAACTCCAGGGGGACAACAAACACAGCCTCCTGCTACACCAAATCCACCAACACAACAAACAACAACAACAAAGAAGCCAATAACGTCGGCACCAACTCCCGTGCCAACAACTACAACACAAAAACCTTCCTCAAGTAGGTGTTTTGTCAAATCTTTTTTCACCATATTTTCAGACAAAGGTTCCAGTGAATTATGTTCTTATAAAGACTTCATTGGATTCATTATTATATGTGGGATACAGTCATTGGATTGTGTAAAAAACTTCCCACTAACACCATACACCATTAACACCATTCACCATACACCATTACACCATACACCCTGTGCCATTACACCATACACACTACACCTTTGCACCATACACCATACACCTTACACATTACACCATAATGCAATTTAATTTCAAAGAAAGCATGCGACTACAAAATTATTTATTTATTTTAAAAAACGAATTTTGATCACAATTTTGTAAATTAATGTATAAAATTAAAAATCAGTTCTTATCAATATTTTGCATAGTTTTAAATGTCGTACACCATTCATTCACACCATTCCCGATCGCATGTTACGCCATTACACCATTCCCCTGACACCATTCCCCTGACACCATTCCCCTTACACCATACACCATAGCACCATACACCTTCTACCATTGCACCATATGCCATACATCATTTCACCATACACGTTTTTTTGGGAAGTTTACACCAAGGTCTGTACTAACTTCGGTCAGTTTTTTCTATGGGCTTCTGTGGAGAGACTGGCCAAAGTCCCAAGTAAAATATCCACAAAAATTACAAGAATCCACTGTATACCTATAACATTGGCAATTTAATGTATGAGGGTTGTCTCATTGGCACTCATACCACATCTTCTTATATCTATAACAGTCTACAAACAGTCTTTACTACTGAGGCAAATATATCTTAACCCTGTTTTTACAAGTTTTTAACACAGTTTTACAGATTTCAAAGTATTTATATTTCCTTTACTATTGAATTTGAATATGTTTTGATTCTTTTGATGCATAAAATCATTAATTTCATCATCATCATCATCATCATCATCATCATTTGTTCATGATCAGACATTCATTCAGACAAAATCATACAGTTTTAATTCAAAAGCATATCAAGTATTACAGATTGGAACTATTACTAAATATGTTAAGTTTCAGGTATGTTTTTTTTCAAAACGATGTGTAAAATGATATTCTGGTACACTATATCAAGGATTACAAATGAATTTCGTAAAGGTGATATTTATAAAAAGGAACACATGAAGAAAATATTAAGATATTTAGAATTATGAAAAAATATTCCTAAAATGTAGCATTTGTTTATATTTATTAGACTTAACTTTGTTTGAAAATGTTCTTCTTTTGAATGATGTCAAAGAAAAATGTTCTTTTATTGAATGATGTCAAAGAAAAATGTTGGTGATAAAACATACTTGTTAGTTTGATGTTGTGATCAGTCTTTATACACTTGATACTGGTGTACACATATTGCTCATTGAACTCAAAATCTCCAGTGGCATTAAAAATAACACGAAAAAGCGAGAAAATTAATTTGTGTGTTTTGTTGTAAAATTGAAAGAACCATGTTTTATGGGTGGTTTATGACAGGAAAGTAAAAATAATATGACTGATGTGAGTACCGTTTTAGATATTGGTACAGCAAAGTTAAATGAAATACCATATGAAGATTTAAGATCAAATCATTTATGACATACATTTGTATTTTCAGCTACAAAGTTTCCAGGAGGGAAGCCAAGTGATCCTAGCCAACAAATTGTTATAGATGCCACAGGCAATAAAAATAGTGGACTTATAAACAATGCAAGGACATTACGGCCTTCTTTGACTTTATTAGTTTTAATGACATTGACATATTTGATACGACCACAACGGTAGCACTAGTTAAATAGTTGAAGTATGCATTTGGATCTGTGTGTGAGTGAACAGTGACATCAATTATGCAAAACTGTCAACATTCATATCAGCCAATCATATTCCTAGCTGCTGTGATGACCCCAAAAAGTTGCCCAATCATATGCTTTGTTGCAATGATGGAAAAAGGATATTGGCCAATAGATAAACTTCTTTCTTGTAGTGACAGGAAGAAAGCAATCAGTGACGAAAATTTAATTAGCCAATCATGTTCTTTATTAGGATGATGGGAAGGAAGCAATACTTGTTAACTTGTTGTGTTATAGATGAAGCAAGTTTGAAAACTTTTTGTGTCTGACTTTCATTGTTAAGATTTTATTTGTTTTGAAATGAAATGGCTGTTTGATTATGTCAAGAATTACTTCTGTTACAGTTAAGTGATGTAGATTTAGTTGCCTCTGAAATTATATTGGAAATTTTATTCTTGTTCAAATGCAGATACCTTGGTTCGAAAATTTAAATAGTCTTATTATTTTCTTTACCAGCTAGATTGAATGCTTTCAGGCATGATTGAAATTTGAGAAAATGTAAATACTCAATTTTTACAGTGTTTTCTGGTACAGTACAGCTCAAAGCTGTTTGTTTTATATTTTAGGAATGAAGTTTTGTTTTTTAAGCAAGAGGTAGTCCCAGATAGTTTTATCATGTCTCATTGTTCATAAATTTCATTCACATTTGTTTTCTATGCATAAGCTGATTTCTGATATGGTGCATTTTCGACTGCATTGTATTAAGGATTTTATATCAGACAGAATACAAAGAACAACAAAGTATTGATATAAAAATTGAGGCCAAACAGTCTTTCATAGCTTTCATGTTCATTTCTAAAATTCAAAGTTTCCATAAAATCCTTTTTGTTACCATGCAGGTACGAAAAAATGTCATATCCACAGAATACCTTAGTAAAAAATTAATCTTACAAAAATGTGATAAAAGAACATACCATAAAACAAAACATTCCATATGAAACTGGCATTTAAGGTATCCAGACCATAATTGATCACACATGATGATGTAAAAAGACCAGGATGTTCTATGCAGAGCAAAGGTCATGACTTTGACAAACATCAGAATACTTTCGAACCGCTATGCATCAATTTTGAGTTTGTCAGCAATTGAAAGAAAATTCTTTCCATGAACTTTTTAGCTTCTCAATAAAAAAATATTTGACATTTTAGAGGCAAACTTATTGTTTTGCAAAAACATCCTTGAGGGATCAATTAGCGAAAAAATGAGATCAGTCGGCATTCAATCCCAGAATTCAAAATTGGTGTGCCGGTATTTAAATTTGTAGTTAATTTCTTTGGATGATGAAAACAGGTCTTTTGACATTTTTTCCACCTAGGGAGCATTTCAATTGTTCATAATAAAGTTTTATAAATTGTAGAGCTGTTTATTTTTTCAAAATATATTTTACAGCCATTTTGATAATTGTCCAGATACCTTAAAATTCAGGCAAAGTACAGCAATTCTTTTCACAAAAAATCTTAGGGGTAAAAACACTCTTTAAGTCATGAACTTTTCAGTATCACTTGCGATCAATTTAAGTCGTAAGATTTTTTGTGAAAAGAGCCCCAGAACTTCACAATGTTTTCTTTTATATGTTTAACCAATTTTAGCATCACAAAAGTGTATGATAAGTGCATTACTTATCAATGAATGCAACTTACATTAAGTGCTATTATTTATATTATTGTACATTATTGCCTCATTATGGATACAAGTTTTCATTGGCTTAAATCATGATCTGATTTGCATATATACAAGATGTAGATATATTCAGTTTGTAAATATTGTGCGTTATTTTGGAGTAAAATTTCCAAAGTGAAAATAAGTCTTTCACTCTAAAATCAATTATTTATCTTAATTTTGTACATTAATGAGTGTGTTGAGTAATGAAATGAATGGGTGTGTTGAGTGTATTACAAATAAAAAGTGAAATTGTAATAACAAGTAAAAAACAAAAGATTTTCTTCTTTTACCTTTTTTTTTAAATTTGTTAGTTCTCATGATACAACATATGACATGTTGTTTCAAAAGTGTCTATGTCAGTTACATTATCACAAGCAAGAATTTTAACATTCAAGAGTTATTCCCCTTAGTTAGCTTTAAATTTAAAAAAAAATTTTGGTTACCTGTTGATACTGCAAGTACTGTTTTACAAAATCGCCAATGATTTGTATGAATGAAATTTTTTCTTCTTTTATCATAGTTTGTGAAAAAATTCTGAATTAAATTTAGTAATAATATTTTTCTACTTGAAACTTTTTTTCATATTAATGAATGATTCTTTTGATGTTATTTTAATAGAGTTTTTTAAATGCTAATTTTGATCATTTTCAATTTTCAAATGATAGGTTTTAAATCAAATTTTTAATAAACCCTTATTTTTGTATCATATATATTTGCATTAGTTGAAAATTTTCATATTTCAAGTATTTGTTGATACATTAATTTATTACTTCAGATGGTATTTTTTAAGATCCAAAGTTTAGGAGAAATGGTGAAAAATCTCTTATTACAGTATGTTGTTACCTTTAAAATACTAATTGAATTTAGATTTATGTATAGCTTGAAAGAAGTACAAACCATCATTCTTTTGTGCAACTGCATGCCATTGTTTTGTGACATCATGTTCACTTGTGCTGACACCATTTTCTTCCATGCAAAACTACAAAATTTGTACGTTGAGAACCAAAAGTCATGTTTGAAAAATAATTGAGACTATGTTGTGAAATCAAGTGGATAAAAATTAGGCAATTTTGAGAAAGTTAAAGTCTCAGTTCAAGTTTTTCTTTCTGTATGTTGTCTCAGTAGTACAGACATTTCTATGAAAACCAATTTCCATTGATGGTGGGACACATAGTAATTAAATTCAATGCATTTAAATGTAGTTCAGTTTCAGTTATCTCAAAAATAAAGTATCTGCAACATTTCATTCCTAACATAAGAAATGTCATTGCATTATGAATTCTTAAGCTACATGGTTGAAACTTAAGCAATCCTTTTCATAAAACTGAATAAATGTTTTGTATGGTGTAAATGGCAAACTGTGTGTGTGGTAGTATTTTATATTGTGCATTGATTGTGCGTGATTGTTTTATACTAAGGACTGTATATATGTGTATATATTGTATATATATTATGTAGACATGGTACATGCATTATCAATGCTTAAATGATGTTAGTTTATTTCTACTGTTATTTTTTCTTATAAACATGGATTTGCCAAACATGTTTTCCCCTTAAAATTGCTTCTAATTTTATGCATGAACTTTCAAAAAACTGTTTTCTGATACTTTGTGTATACAATGCTGTCTTTGGAAATAAGAATTGATTATTAGAGAAATTACATACTTTAACAGATAATTCTGGGAAACAAAAGATGGTACTGCCATATTAGCAGATGAAACCGCTTTCTCTATTTGATTTCTTTTGGAGAAAATATGTCATGATTAAATAATTGAAAATGTTTACAAAACTGAAAAGCACTTATTAATAAAGCATTTTCATGTAAAGACAGAACATTAATGAGAATTATTTTTGACTTAAGTTACTAATGCATTGTTTAATGGAAATAATTCTAGAAATTCATTTTATGCTTTTATCAAGGATTTCAAGATATTAAAAAAACACAGCATTATTTCAGTGTAGGCAATAAAAAACGAACAATTTGATAGACTTTTGAAGGAACATGAATAAAAGAGAAAAACAAGTAGACAATAAAAATCTGAACATAAAAAAGTTTTTTAAATGTAAGAAAAATAGAACATGAACAAAAAATGAGAAGAAATAACAGTAGAATGTGTTTGATTCAGTATTACATATTTGACAATGAAAAAGACGACTTTATTGTCATATCTGGCTTTGTGCTTTAAAAGTATAATTTATTATTATTATTGAAATGAACATGTAATTGATTTTGTGTTATATTTTTTTTTTGTTGTTTCTTTTTTCAAATTGCTGATTTGTTTTTGAGTTGTTTGTTTTGTTCTAGAATAGTTTTAAGTACTGCTGTTATATGTTACAATTCAGTTTTGCAGAATTTATTTTTTCAATTCAAAAATTTGAAACCTAAAATAATTTAAGAAGAAAAAGCTTTAATTTTATAAGGGAGACAGGTTTGACATATCACTTCAGGGAGGTAACTCTCTGTAAATCAACATAACTCTTTAACAGCATTGTAAAATTCAAGCATCTTTTTAACATAGACTAAAAATTTTTTGGAAGATGTGATTTGTTATTTTTACTGTTTGATTATTTTTTTGATTTTCATTTTCTCAATTTCAATTAATGATCATCAAAACCTCAATTTCAATATAAATTTGTTTTACTTTGTTCAGTGGAATTTTTTGTTTTCTCCCAAATGAAAATCAGAAAAATTAAATGAAAGGAATATTGTGTACCCCAACATGTTTGGTACCCCTGAAAATAAGATTTTTATTTAAGCTTATATAATTTTCAATAGCTGATTCATAATATGCAAATTGAAATATCACATTAGTTGAAAGTAGATTTGTTTTGGTTTTTGTTGTAGTTTGCAACAGAGTTACCTCATGGCATATTTGTATGTGGAATGAAGTAAAAAAGGTGTATCTTAAATAGAATGATATAAAATGTAAATAAATTGTCCAGTCTCTCTGCTTCAGGGAATTTTTAATTTGATGAAGATCAAGATTATGAAGATGTTGTAGTACAATATTTCTGTGAAGATTTTAATGACAATATATGTTTGAAAATTGTTATTGTGTGAATGATTTAAAAGTCAGCAATGTGAAAAAAATATGAAATAAATGAAATGAACAAATTATATTGAAGTTACTTTTTTACTGAGTTTCATTTCCCGCAGATCCCATTTATGCATCTGTTGTATAAGACTACCCAATTTTATTTTCGCCTGCAACAAATATTGTGTGATTGTTTGAAGCTTCTTAATTCAGAAGGTAGAAAGCCTGATCAAGACATGGTTTACATTTGTCTTATGAGTTTAGGTTTCTACATGGCATATGCCAGTAGTCCTTGCTCTTATTTTCATGGTTCAGTGACTGCTCGAAAAACATGTATAGTTTTTGTCTCGCCATCAAAGAATATGACAGAATGCAAGACAAAGGGATTCCAATCAGGCATAGACATGGACTATTTTGATGAAGCTTTATATTTCAGACCTGGATACTTCATATCTTGTATGGTGATGCCTAATAGTCTGATGTTTCAATCTGGCAATTGAAACTAGTATGTCCTTTGTCTTTGACCACATTTTCATGTTTCAGCTTCTGTTTAATATAATTGAAAGTTTTTTTTACATTATTTTTTTTTTTCAGTTATGAGTGATAGGACTACTAGTTTTGTTATATAAAATCATTGCAAGGTATGCTTGTCTGTCAGACAGAGTTCATTGCCCTTGACCTAATTTCTGGTGGATCAAGTGTTTCCATAAGTTTTTGTGATAAGATCTGTTTATCAGATACAATAAGCAATAGGTCAATTATATTTGATGTATGGAATGATTGCAATAACAATAGCCTTGCCAGTTTTACTTCACCAGATGCCCATGTCTTCAATGTCCCTTAAGTGAGGATTGAGGGTAAAATATATGAAAATCCAAAATATAATGCAAACTTTGAAGAGCTGATATATCCAAAGAGGACCAAAAAGTAAAGCCAGACTCCGACAAGGAAGCAGATGATACACGAGGGAGATACATTCCTTAATTTAGAATTGTTTTCTATTGTTTATACTAGCAAATTTCAATAAAACTATATCTATATTTTCATGCAGGTACAGAATTGCTGAGCTGCTGGGATTGTGATACCCTCGGGGACTAACAGCCCATGAGCAGAGGTATTGACCCAGTGGTAGTAATAACATTAACGGTACCAATTTTGCTGCAGTAAAATAATGCCTCTCTAGTGATGCACAACGCCAAAACTTTTGAAAACCCAATAGCTAATACAAACTTTATGAGCTGATATAAAGGAAAAGGACCAAACAGTATACCCAAACTCGAAAAGAGAGCAGAGCTTTGCATGGGGGAGATATATTAATTGATTTAAAGTGATTTTTGGGGAGTCATAACAGCAAAATATGAAAACAGTATTCGTATTTTCATGCCAGTAAAGAATTACGAAGAAACCTGGCTGGTTATAGCCTTTGACACTAACAGTCCGCCAGGAGAGGTATCAACCTAGTGCTGACCAGATGCGCATTTCTAAAATTAATGTCTCTTCAGTGATCCTGCAGGCCAGCATACCAGTATTTAAAAATGCACAATCTTACACAAACATTGAAGAGGTGGGATATTGAAAAAAAGGATGAACAAACAAAATATAGACAAACCCGTACAACGAAGCAGAACTATGCAAGAGGAAGATACTTCTTTAATTAAGAATGATTTTCTAAGATCTATCAAGGCAAATTTCAATAAAACAATATCCATATTATTATGCCAGTACAGAAAAACTGAGCTACTGGGCTGGTGATACCCTTTGGGACTAAGTCCACCATCAGAAGTATCGACACAGTAGTAGTAATAACATTGCATTGTGTACCTGTCCCTTTGGCAGGTTTCAAGGACAAGGACATCATTCGTAGATATAAATCAACGTGCAGACATCTTATTCGTTCAGGTGTTTCACATCTTATTATTTATGGTAATATTCTATACAAAACACAAAAATGTCTTTATTCACCCAAAAAGCTAACCAAACCTTTAAACAGACATATTCAGAAGGAATATAGTTGCGATACTGTTGTTAAGTCATTAAAGATGACATTTTTTAAAATTAATATTCACTCACTCATAAGGTCTTTGCATCGGAAATAATCACATTTATTCTAAAACCATTTGTTGGCTTGATACGTGTTATGTTCTTTTGAATCATTATGATGGCATGATACTAAACCCTTATGAAGACATAATCATTCGATCAGTTTGATTGGGGACTGGAGCTGGCATGTCAGTAACTGCTAATAGAGAGGCGAAAGATACCGGGACATTCAAACTCATACGTGGAAAATAAACTGACAACGCCATGGCCAAAAAAAGAAAAAGACCAACAGAAAAACATCAGTACACAAAACACAACATAGAAAACTACAGATTGAACAACACGAACCCTATTGCTAGTAGTCCTTTGTTAATTTATGTTGATCATTATCATTTTGTCTAGTTTCTTCTGTTACCTATTCTAACATCGGACTCGGACTTTTTTTAACTGAGTTTTACTGTGCGTATTGCTGTGTGTTAAGTTTGTTTATTCCACATTGACTAGAGGAATAGAGAGGAGGGGTTGAGATCTCACAAAAATAGTTAACCTCTCCGCATTTATTCGCCTGTTTCAAGTCAGGAACATCTAGCTTTTGTTAATCTTGTGTTTTTCTTTAAATTTTAGTTCATTTATATGTTTTGTAACTATTTTGCTGAACCAGTATACATTATTGTTTAGGGGCCAACGGAAGCCCGCCTCCGATTGCGGGATATGCTCGCTGCGTTGACGATTCACTGGTGGCCTTGGGCAGCTCTTTTGTCGGGTTGTTGTCTCTTTGACACATTCAACGTTTCCATTCTCAATTCTATTCATTGGATCTTGATCGTTTTTTTGTGGTTCATTGGTCAATGCAAGTTTCCGCGATTTGGTCTGTATCTCAGAAACTATGGGAAAAGAGACATATATGATGAGTGTATAGAATGAATGTAAGTTATTCATATCTATCTGGCATTTCATCTGACAATAACCTTAATTTTATGGTTTATTATTCAACGTTGACTTTGGGTTCTTTTTGAGTAGGTCAATTTTTAATTCAGCCATGCTGGATCTATGCGATCACTCTGGTTTTGGAGATGATGCAGAATACTAAGTTGAAGACATATCATGAAATTAATTATGTGTTTTTATGACTTGCAGAAACTTTCTACACCATTTTAATCATCAACTCTCAACTTTTGACATGTTATTTGCCCTTAAATTAAGAAAAGAGTGGTCGAACAACCCTTTTATTTTAGATATTCACTTGCAAATAGTTCCTTTGTAAATCAAAATTTATAATGATATACTATTTATGAATTAATTTGAAAAAATATTTGTACATCAATTGAATCAGTTAATAATAATTTTGAAAGTATTATAATAGTATCTTATGCTTGTGTAAATTGTTGTTCAGTGAAATGTAGGTCAACATGTGTATTGATATATCTAAGTTGATTCCCACACTTTTTTGAAATGGTATTACTCCAATTCTTTCCATAGGCAAGTAAAAGTCAGTATGATTATCAACTGTAAAGATTTTCAAATAATTACAATCAAAGGTCACAGATAATATCTCATGACCTGTTACATAATTGAATAGACACAATTTATTACACACCTAACTGAATACACACATTCTTGACCTCAATAGTAAATCTACAAATGAATTATTTATTTTAATCTACACTACACTAAAATGTTCTGTTAATTTTGCTAGTTAGCTGAATGATTAATCAAATGTGTTTTTTTCCAAAGAAAAGACAATAAATTAAAGAAAAAAAAAAAGAATAAAAAATGCATTGAAGCAAATTTTATTTCACTTGTAAAATCAGCGTCATTATCATCTGACTTAAGTCAATAATCAAGTTCTAAATAATTAGTTACATTTATCATGATTATCAGAAATTTTGATGAAATAATATACAAAATTGCATAACTCTTACCTGAGCATTTTCTGCAATAACATTTATTTGTTTGTTCTACATTTATATCCCATTATATTGCTATTTAACAGTAACTGGAGATATCTCAACATTAGGTATTTGTACATTTAAATTTGAATACAGGAAATGTATTTTTTTTTAATGAAGAATGAACACCAATTTAGATAAAAAATAATTTTTGTTCTTGAAAAAGAGCATTTCTAAGGCCTGTTTCTGGAAATTATTAAGCCAGTTATAATTAATGGCATATAAAAAAATATATTACTTATTTTACGATTTCCCTTTCCATTCTTGTAAAAACAATTGAAATTGAGGTTTTGATGATGATTAATTGAAATTGAGAAAATCAAAATCAAAAAAATAATCAAACAGTAAAAATAACAAATCACATCTTCCAAAAATTTTTTAGTCTATGTTAAAAAGATGCTTGAATTTTACAATGCTGTTAAAGAGTTATGTTGATTTACAGAGAGTTACCTCCCTGAAGTGATATGTCAAACCTGTCTCCCTTATAAAATTAAAGCTTTTTCTTCTTAAATTATTTTAGGTTTCAAATTTTTGAATTGTAAAAACAAATCTGACTGAGTCTACAATTGAAATATCAATATACATATATCAATGTTTGCATCAATATTGCGAAATTCCATACCTAGAACAATAACATGGAAATTTTACAGTAAGATTGGAAATGAAAAGAGAAAAAAATATTGAAAAACGTATGGTCAGAAAGAATACCATACTAGCTATAAACATGGCTGGATCACAACATCATGCAACGATGCTTTGATTCAAGTACTTTAAGCAATAGGTCAACTATATTTGGTATATGAAATAATTGTTGGGTCTACATGTCCGTCTGGCAGGGTTTATCTGTCTTACCTTAATCTCATACTTATGAATTATTGTATCAGTTGCCGTTCATGTAAAAATAACGATACTTCCATCATGATAGTTTTTCAATCGTGATGGTTTAAACAACTATCCCGATGTTTTTAGCATGCATCATGATACTTATCAGAAGTATCATGATACAAGTCTAAGGTATCGTGATACTTGCCCAAAGCATCACGAAATAATTAGACTGACAATAGCATCGCGATGGAAGCCAAAAGCATCACGAT